TTCTTCATAAAAGAACACGCTGCAGAACTTGACATATACATAGTTTGTCATCTCCAAAGCATAGCACAAAACTGAGACACACTTACCGTCTTGTTTATCACATCTCATCAAGGCGTCATCTACCGCATCACCTGGATCAGCACTGGACATACACACACAAAATGTAGTCACACTTTTGCATCAAAGTTATAAGAGGAACAGTGCCTGCTTATCAATAAAGAATGTGTTGATTTGTACACAAAGATTACAGAGACTGTTTTTATGTGATCAGTTATGGTTTTATCCGTCTCCCTTTGTTTCCTGATAGCTACAAGACGTGTTTCAGGTTATGGAGTAAATGATGAATTGTTTACTGAAAAACAGTGAAACAGGAGTGTGTCCTTTACTACAAGTCAGTAATATGAGTCAGTTTTTACACAAAACTGCACTGTTTTCAAAGCCCAGCACAGCTCCTGTCTGTCTTTGGTTTCCCCTTCTAGAAGTCTTTCAGCTCTCTATGATATTTCTTGAGTAATTACTTTGTCGCTGACTTCCTGCAGGCGTTTTCCTCCGCTTTCCACCAACACCCCAGTCCTCTGGCACATGCCTCACAGCTGGGATAGAGAGCGCAGCCTTCAGCCTGGACACGAGCCAGAGACAGGGGGCTGCCCACCAGGGCCTGGCCCTGGAAACACAGGGAACCATTACAGAAACACAGTGCAATAAAAATGTGTCCTGACAATACAGATGAATACATGCATGACTGTGTGTGAGAAGTATGTGTATAAATGCATGTGTAGCAATTTTCAGTTTTTTCACTTATATTGTTCACTTATACTTTAAACTTTAGTCTGTTAATTACTGTGGTGAACTCTGACACACTGAATGTCTGAACTATCTTCTGTTTTCTGCATAACAACAGATGTAGCGTAAATAGTCCTTGAAAGTATCAGCTCCCTCCATGAGAGCACCTCTCTGTGCCATGGGAAGAAGACAAGGACCTTTGTCCAACAAGAAACACATGTGTATAACCGTTATCAGTGCAGATTCCTTGTCTCTGATGCTTCCCAAACCTGTGAAAAATCTTATATATGACTGAGCTCTCTTTGTTCTTTGAGCCTCTAAAGGCTGAAAACCATTATAAAGCCTCATCCGGTTCTTTCAAACCAGGAACTCCGAGGGACGACTCAGACCACTTGAGTATATAAAAAATATAACCGTGCTGGTTTATTCAAAGAGTCACAGGCAAGAA